CAGAGGAACCTGATTGTTTCACAGATTATATACTATATATAGTGAAAGCTTCATCAAATATGACAAAAAAATGTATTTTATAAAAGTTACCTACTGCAGCTTTTATTGAAGACAGTCACTTTGCTGTTTAAAGAATTTGTGTCTTATTGTAAGATTTTGTTGCTATTTATGAATCTTTGGTTACGGTACAAATTCTAAAATTCAGCTCAGACCAAAATGCTTACCATACTTTATCATGAATAGATACAATTTCAGGAAGTGGAAGCAGTTACAGCTGCAGTAGGTAAAAAATAACTTTCTGAAACTTTCACTATTTTTACACTGATTATCTGTCTCATGTACTACTGTCAGGATATAGTGAACGTTTAAGCTAATGTGTAAAATCTAGTGGTAAAGTTACAGATTGCAACCAACTGAAATCTAATAAGTTATGTTTATAAAATTGACCTACTGCAGCTTTAAAGGGCTCCCAAAGTGTTTTTTGGAAATGATGTTTAATTCACAACCATGTGCAGTGACTGTAATATCATGGGAATGTTTGCTGTTCTGTGTTTGTGTATTCATGTACATGTGTGTTCATGTTTGTGTGTGCGTTAATGCAAAGCATCTGGGAGCAGCTCAGCGCAGCGAGGATGAAACAGTGGGAAAGGTCGATGGTCTCATACTGAAACAATTCACTGTGGCTTCTTTGATTGGGTGTGGCATCAGGCCTTCCCAGTCACATATTGACGGACCTGGAGGTGAAGGAGGAGTTGGGGGTGGGGAATGTGACCATGTAAATTGTTGAAATCATATATTCGTACACTCCCTTCACCCCGAGGACATCAGCTGCTCTCACAAGTGCCTACCCCAGCCTGGAAAAAGCTCTCCTTTTAGTCTCTGCTGGAATCTTGTTGATTCTTTTGATAGATTCTTGCGGTTGAGCTTTCCCCCTCTCTACACCCCACTGACTGTTTCAAGTCATAAAACCGGATAGAAAGAATGTGGTTGTGCCTGTTTCCTTACTCCCTCTCTGTCTCTATACCTCCTCTCAGTTTTTTTATTATCGAAAAACTCTTCCAAGAACATATCTTCGAGGCATTTCCCACCACAGCCTGAACGCCTCACAGAACAGCCTGGACAGATTTACATATAAACCTGCAATAAAGTGCCTGGTGTCATGTTAACAGTTGGCAGTGAGGAGGTTAACACAGTGACAGTCTGGAAGAAAAGTAGAATACCAGCCTCAACTTGCAGGCAGTTATTGCAAAACAACAGTGTCCAACTTTGACTAAAGGTTTCCAGATGTGGAATGAGCTGTCTGCTGAGTGTGGGCTCAGTGATCCAAACACACCACTTTACACAGTATAATACATTACACAAGTTTTTTGCTCACACCACAAGCTTAAATGCATATATATGTGTGTGTGTGTGTGTGTGTTTGTGTCATAAAGGTACAGTGTATGAGGGTGAGGTAAATTGAAGGTATTGCCTGGGCTCACTGCTCCCTCCTCCTGGCTTTCCCCTCATGCTGAGGGAGGATCCAGGAAGGTTGCCAGCTGGTGACAGAGGCAATGCTCCACTGACACACAGCAGCAAGCAAGCAAGCGAGCAGGGAAGACACGCTGGAAGAAAAAAGCTAAAAAGCCTCAGTCGCCATGCCTCAGGTAAGAAAGAACGCTCGAGCTCTGCTCCTACAGGTGAACACCCGCGAAAAAGTTTCGTCGTGTTTGAAACTTTTTAAACTTTAAACTTGGGGGGAAAGTTGTTTGCCGCCGAGTTAGTTCACCGAAATAAGAAACGTAGGCTCGGATTCGGACGGGAAACGAGTTTATAAAGTATGAGCGGAACAGCTCGTTAAAGAGCGATTTCCTGGCTGCCGAAGACGCGCCATCTCACGCGCTCAGGCGGAAAAAAATGTCGCTGAGGAGCAATCTTTCTCCCGGATAAGTCCCGTTTAACTGTTTGTGCTTTACAGGACAGACTTTGTGTGTTAGCCGCCGTCTTACAAGTCCAAAAAACTGAGTTCAGAAGCAAACACCTAGTTTGACTTATTTAACGGACAGGCTCCACCGACTGCCATCTGCCCCTCCCTGAGAAGAAGTAGCTGTCAGTGCTGTGATACAGTTAGATTCACACTCTATCATCATTCACCTATAAGAACATTCCAGTAATCTCCAGGCAAAGAAGATACATTAGAGAGAGCACTTGTGTAGGTTTGATATCATTAATACAGTTTCTGAATCAGGGGCGTGTCCCATTTTAAATGTAGGGCCCAGGTGGACCTCGCCTACGTGTGTGTGTGTGTGTGTGTTAGTTACATAGATTATGATTGTGCAATGCAGCATCGCTTCCTCTTTATTTCAGGATCTTTCTCATTGTTCTTCCTTAATTAATTATGAGGGGTGAATCTATATGGGTGGCCACCCCAGTTTGGTGTCAAATGCTGTCCAATTTAACATACATTTAGATTAATTTTAAAAATAATTTGTTAAAAATGGAAATGAATTATCAATGACACATTTTCGACTAAGTGAAAGGCTTATGTTCAATGACAAAAGGCACTTATTTTCAAAAATGTGTAAAGCTTTGGCCGTTCAATGAAGGTCGGTGCTTTAGTAATGTGCCACAATAATGTTTTTGATTTCAAGTATCTTCATTCAGGGGCTTTTCCAAGCAAACGTTAATTTAACTCAAAAATAGTTGAGAGTAAAATACCTAGTAAAAAGTACTTAATCTGTAATGTTTAACTTACAAAACTAAGTTAGTGTCACTTAAAATTACCAGTAAAAACTGCTTAAGCAAGAATCTTTTTTAACTTACAAAGCAATTTGAGTTAAAATAACTTTTTGCATTACAGTGTATATTTCTGCCATACATTAAAGTCTCTGTGCCACCCCATGAATATTTCTCTATATCCGCCCCTGTTAATAATGACACACGATCAGAATCGAATCTGCAGAGGAGGGGACACCATGGGTGGTCTCAGCTTCCAGTAGCGGCCTGTCCTGGGCCAATTTAAAAACAAAAACTTTTCTTATGGGACCATTTCATACCTAACAAGCCACCACAATCAGTTACACCCTGAAGCTTAGAATAACGGATTTAGAACTGCCAAGAGCAGAAGTTTCTAGAAAGCAAACAATGCTCCACTGCAGCCTGTGGTCACGGAGAATGTCCTAGAACACTGGCTCTCAAACTGTGGTGGTATGTGAGCTGCCTCTAGTGGTACGTAGAATCTCTCAATTATTTTTTTATTAATTAATTCAAAAACATATAATACTGTACAAATACTACATAATTTGACTATGAGATTACTGAAATGTAATTTCCTGTTTTAATAATCACACTGCTACATAGTAGTGTTCATCCATGTAGCGCAAGCATATATACATTATTAGTTAGGAGCTGAAATGTGATGGTAAGAAGGTAAGTAAGCGGAGGTAAAATGAATGGTTCAAAAGTACTGTTATTGTGGCTTCAAACAGGAACTATTGGGAAGAGAAGTGTAGACCAGGATTTCCCGTTTTCCACCAAATTAGCTCTAGTTTCATTCAGGATTTAACAAGAGTCAACAATAAATAATCTTCTTTCTAGGAATACAACTGCCTCCTGTGTGAGCTGTCTGTAGCTGAACAGGGTTAGCGTACTACGCCTGTGTATTGGCAAGAATCTGGCAATGCGATACATATCACATTACAGGGGTTACAATTCAGCATTTTGCAGTATACTTCGAAAAAAGAAATCCAATTTTAGAAAAGGTTTACTCTTTACTCAAGGGTTGATATAATATCAGTTTATCAGTATTTAGCTGGATAATTCCTAAAGTGGGGTGCGGTGTAAAAGGTTTGAGAACCACTGTTGTAGAGCTTAATATACACTTGCAAATGTTATTATAAAGTTTCTTCCACCTCAGTGTTGATGTTCTAAAGCACAACTGTGTAGAGTTTCAGATCAAGAGAGAGCTGGGAAGAAATGAAGGGATTTGGGCGTGGTAATGGGCACTCTAAGAAAAAGAGAAAAAAAAGCAGGGAATCTATCTTTACATGTTCTCATTGAAACTAAATCATTAAATGCTTATCCCCTACTCCACTTTCCGAAAAGGGATTAAAAAAAATGTTACATGCATATAGATAACTTGTTTAATCTGCCATTAAACTAAGGCCTCCACAGCGTTTTGACAGTGCTTGTGTTTCAGAGACTCATTGGCTCATTTGGTGTCTTTTATTCACATAATCTTTCTATAATACCTTAGTGAATATAATGAGGTGTTGAAATTGCCTGTGCCTTGTCTACAGTCGGGGTATTGGCGCTCTCTGTGGGATAGTTTTTGTTGAGGTGAAGAGGGCTTGCAGCAGCTTGTGGTACATCAGTCAGAAAGGGTGTGGTTATGACAAAGCAGTCAGGCCACATGCATATAATAACTGTAGAGAGACTGCAGCGTGTTCCAGTCATGGCCGAGAGACACCCGCCTTTAACGCTGCTCTAATCTGTGTGTAACGTGGAAGATGGACTCGCAGATAATTCTCTCTCTAACTCTGCAGCCCCACACAGCTCATAGTTTTGGTTTCACAGCACATTTAGAGTTTGGTTCACAGCTCAATAATGTACACGTTATTGACCCATTTATCAAACTAATAACTAACAGCAGTCAACATCAGACAGCATTATCATACTGTAACAGTTACCTAAAGTTGTGCTGGCAACTTAAGAATGATATATATTAACAGTCTGAATTGAATTCTAAAGTCCGAGTCAAACCAATTCCTGTACAAACACAAGATAAAGGGTGTCATATGTCGACTGTCTTCTTGTCAATTTGGCATCAATATAATCTATAAAGGTAAGTGTATTCAGTACAAGTGTTACATTTAGTCTGCTTAACGGGCTCAGCCTCCGTTGTAGCTGCGCCCTTTCAGTGGGAAAGACTGTGGGTATGAGAGGCAGGCACTTTCAGGAGTCGTTTGAGGAGTTGTTTTCGGCCGTTACCAAAGTAACTACCCTGTTAGCTGCTTCCTGTCTGGTGTTGGGGAGAGACTGCTCTCATTGGCTGTAGCTTGTAGCATGGCGCCATGACACAACCAGATATTTAGCCTGCTAGATCTTTTTCGGGCGTTTGCAAGGCACCAGTGAGCCCTCTGATCGCGTCTTTGAACAATTCACATAAAGTCAGTATAAAGAGACAGATATTTCCCTCAGGAACACAGAGCTTAATGAGGGGTTGAGAGATTGCAAATGTTTCTGTACTAGTGCTGGAGGATGGTTACAGTTCAATTAAATGGGCAAACCTTTAACCAAAACATGCCATAAGATCTAATGTTGTTTTTTATCTAAAATTCCCCCCCAAATAAGTTCACTACTAAAATATACAATTTTTATGTTGAAATTTTCCAGAAATGCACAAACCTTTTGCCAGCCTGCCTGTGGTAGATTGTCTGTTCATCTTGTTTTTTTTACAGGCTTTGTAAAGATAGAGATATAGCTAAACAGGGTGGATCAGGTTTGGTTCTAGACATGGACAGGTACTGTTGCTCACATTCATGGCCTTATTCAAACAGAGCTCTCCTGTTATTTGTTTAACAGCTCTGCAACTGTATCAACAGTCAGTCAGTATACCAATTATTAAGTCTGTAAAAGCTAAGGAAGGAAAGACTTTTAAGTGTGAGAGCAAACTCACTCAAGTTTTCTGTTCTAGCGGGATCTATTGGCAGAAATGGAATATTCATTTCTGTTAGTGTGTAATCACCTGAATATAAGAAGTTTACCTTAGAGTTATTTACAGAGGGAGCAGGTCCTCTTCTACGGAATTCACCATGTTTCTACAGTAGCCCAGAATGGACAAACCAAACACTGGCTCTCTTTTCACATTTTTGTGTTTGGAAAGGGAGGGTGAAGCGAGGGAGTTGCAATCTGGTCATTTAAGGTCCAAACAATAAACATATCTAGTGTCTGCCTGTTTCCTTCTTGCTGACCTTGCGACAGTACAGGAGGTGATGATTCAGCTCACAGGAAGCGCGGACATTGACGATGACCTCCTGTCCTGCATTACCATCATTCTTTGAATTCCCTGTTTCTTTCAGCTTGCCTTAAAGCAGATGGAGATCTGCTTGCCTGTTTGTGTTTGACTTTGCCACCGGAAACCAGTCTTCCCATCCTGTCTCCTACCAGGCTCAATTTTGGCTTCTCTTAGCCAAGGCCACAATCTTTCCCTGACTATAACTAAATCACTTTTTAAAGCTCCAGTGTGTAACATTTCGGAGGACCTATTAGCAGAAATGGAATATATATTCCATGGTATGTTTTTCCCATTAGTGGGTAATAATACTTTGAAGGTGAGTAAGTAAGTAAGAATTGGTTTGTGGGTTTTTTCTTTAGTTAAATTAGCTGTTTTTGTTTTACTGCCATGTTTCTACAGTAGCCCAAAACAAACAAGCCAAACACTGGCTCTAGATACGGCCTTTCACTTCATCATCTTTCTTGTTCCATTTATTCCTTTCTTTCCTTCTCCCCAGTTTTCAGACCTCGAGAATGCCATCAACACACTGGTCACCCAGTTCCACTCTGCTTCAGCTGACAATGGTCCCACGCTGAAAACTGATGAATTCAAAGGTCTGCTGTCCTCCCAGATGCCTAACCTGGTAAAGGTAAAACTGCCGTCAGTCTCAATGTGTGTCACCCTCTGCCTGTTGACTGCAGCAGCTGGGTGTGGCAGCATAGCTCACCTTCCTCACCTCACACAAAGGCAGCCAGAAACATGCTAAGAGCAGAGTCACACACCAGCAAACACACGTAAGAACTAGGCTCAGTTGACTGTTAGGAAATTCATCATCTAAGCCTTAATTCAACTGACGATGAAGGTGGGGGTGGGTGTAATTTTTTATGAGTGAGTACTGAAAATCTGTTATTTGAAACATCCCTGCAGGATTAAAAACCCCTATGTATGTTGATCGTAACTGAAACACCTTCCTGTCACCACCGTACCTTATTTTTCTATGGATGTTTTGATCTATACATGTTTTTCCATCATGAAACTGTCTCCATTGTAACCGCAGTGGATCCATGGGAATGAAACTTCAAGCCTGAAGATGATATAAAACACATTTTCATTGGAGTATTCCTCTAAAAGATATAAAATCTGTATCAAAGGTTTCATTAAGATTAATTTGACGTATTATTGCTGATGCCAAAGATGGGGTATGATATGAAACAAGAAGCCCTCGCACATCCATTGGTATCAACTGTATCATGCAAGCTAGGCTACATTTTGGGGATGGAAAAACTGGCATGGCAATTCTCAAAGGGATCCCTTGACCTCTGACCTCAAGATATCTAAATGAAAATGGGTTCAATGGATACCCACGAGTCTCCCCTTTACAAACATCTAAGGCCTGCTTTCTGTTAATCCACTTCTTGGCACAAAACGTGCAGTTTTTGCATGGATGTCTCCACTCTGTGGAGGTTTTTTCATATTTTTTTTATTTTGTAAAAATCATTCACCTCACATTCATCAGTTTACACAGTATCACAAGCACTGCAGGTCTAGTCACACAGCACCGTGCACAAAACCAGCCCAGCTCTTCCACAGCTTTCCTCACACAACATTAGCTTGAATTATTTAGAGGTTGAACATTGGAAGCTTTCATTTTAGAAAAAAAGATTCCCAGTTCAATGTATGTCCAAATCCAGAATTTATTTTTTTACTTCTGTGAACATGAGGGAAAAAGCATTCCATAACACATATTTCATGTATTATCTGTATCCATTCACAAATGGTGGGTGGCTCTTATTTTAGTGACAGCCTTTTTACGCTGCAGAGGTATTTAGTACTATTTTCTTATCATTGCTATTCCACCCTAAGTCACCCATGTACACGGTGTCACATCTAAAAGGAATATGTATGTCTACTGTCAGGATATAGTGAAAGTTTCACCAAATATGACAAAAAGTTATTTTTATAAATGTTGCCTACTACTGCTTTAAGGCACCAGAAGCATTCTTACTTTTGTCATTTTGTCATTCTTACTTTTGTTTATTTTTTTATTTACAGCACTGGGACAAGACTTCTCTTAAATTGAGATGTGCCAGTGGTCTTACTCTTAAAATAAGGAAAATAATCTTGTTCCTCTGCTGGGATATTACGCTAACTATTGTTACACAACATGTTGGTTCAGTCTAGCTCAATATTAGCTGTAGTATCTTATTAAGACAATTCATTAATTAAGATATATTTTAACCAGATTACTTTTCTAATGCAGAATATCCTTGACAATATTGTATTCAAAAAGTAAGTCTCATTTCCCTGGGTGGCTAGTGAACACACAAATAATTTTTAACTGTATTGACTTTCCTCATGATTACAAAACATGACATGACACATTTTGTCCTGGTGTGTTCTGGTGTGTTCCCACAGGGGGTCGGCACGGACCAGGGAATGAGCGAGATCCTGCGAAAGATGGGTGTAGGCGACGGCGAGGGCATCTCTTTCAAGCATTTCTGGAACTTAATCCAGTCATTAGCCACCTCGCAGCACAGCCTCCTCAGTGGCCAAGGCTCCTCGTGCAGCTGCATCCTCCTGTGAAGAGCAGGCTCTCAGCCCGATACAGTCTCCACCCTAAAATGTAACTAAACAAGAGTAACACATCCCTCCCCGCATCAGGTGTCAGACAGAATACAAACGTGCAAAGTCTCATCTGCACACAGCAAACTATTCCCAACATTTATCACTAGTATATTAGTTTCTTAATCCTGTGGTCTCTGTCTGACAGGTTTCCACATTACGCTTCTGCCAGTATACTATCCTTTGCACCAGCTCAAATACATTTTTAAAGGTTTTAAGAATCAAACTACAATTTGAACAAATTTACAATAAAATAATGTAATCATCCTCATACTTATTATCTGTTTGTAGCCATTTGGTGACGTTTTATTTAACACATTGGCTAAGGTTGCTGTTATTGGACAGGACAGTATAATTTTGGCTGGCATGTTACTAGCCATAGAAGGCTAGCAGTCCTTCTCTGTAAAGATGAACACTCTGAATTAATAATAATAAGAATAAATTTTATTTGTAAAGCACTTTTCATAAGAGAATCTCAAAGTGCTAATTGTTCCGTTGCTCCCAGATCCAACTCAGTTGTCATCTATGTGAAGGTCTAAAACATTGCCTGTGAAGTTGGAGATCTGCGGAGTGGACGTTAAGTTCAGTTCAGACCAAAGATTCATGACGCCAGTCTGCAACATTCTGAAAACCTGCCAGTTCACACGAATACAACTAGACAACATGATGTACTGTCTCTATAGCGACTCTTCATACCTCCGTTCAAACTGACAGCTTTTCAGGTTTTTTTTGTAGCTGGATGTAATTTGTAGCATCTTAAAGCTGTAGTAGGTAATTTAATTATGTTGTTGTTTAATTATGTTTTTTTGATCATATTTGCTGTAACTTTCACTATATCCAGACAGTAGCATATCAGAAAGATAATCTGTGAAAAAATCAGGTTTCTTTGGCTCCTCCTAGTGCTCCTAATGGAATTTACAATATTCCACCGGGCCTGAACTAAAACAACCAATCAGAGCCTAGAAAGATAGTTGATTGTTGAGTCTCATTCCCAGGGTGTCAAATACAGATGTTTTTGGATCCTGGGAATGAGACTTCTGTAGTCTTCCTTGGCTTTGATTGGTTGTTTTCATTCAGGCCCAGTGGATTCTTACACGCCATTAGGAGCACTAGGAGGAGCCTGGGGGAACCAGATTTTTTTTAACAGATTATCTGTCTCATGTTCTACTGTCAGGATATAGAGAAAGCTTCAGCAAATATGACAAAAAGTAATTTTTATAAAGGTTACATACTGCAGCTTTAAAATATGAATGGGGATAGTGATTACTTGCTACAGTTGCATTTTATTGATGAAACTGCGAAAACATAAAAATATGATTACACATACTCATATTCATACCGCTGCAACTTTTACCTACAGCGTTCTAAAACAATTTTGTCTTGTCATGAACCCTTGGTCTGATGTTGTTGGACTGCACGCTGTTTAAACTAATTACACACATTGAACATTTCAGCCCCTGTCAGATAATCCAACAAGCATTACCACACAAGGCCCTAACACTCACTTTGAATTGAATGGTGCAAAAGGCGCTCCCATTCGCAAAAATGTTGTCTTCTGTTGAGCGGCCCACTGTTGTGGTATTCACAACTTAATGAAAACACCACAACAATGGTGCTTAATTGCATTTTAAAAGCTCAAAGTCGAGTTCTGACAGGATAGCCTTAAAATGGAGAAAACATCATTCACCATTTTAGAAAAAGGAATAAGAACGGGGTCATAGGTGTTGCCTACCAAAGGCCATCTCAATAGTTAACCACACAAAAGCCAATCATTATCATTTATATAGAATAATATAGTCAACTTCACATGTCAAAAATGCTAACTCACAAGTGCCATTTAAAGGTGCATCAGTATAAGAGCATGTATCATCAGAGTTGAGGCCAGATTGTAATTGTCACTGAAACACTATTAAAATGATGATGACGTGAAATGTGTTCGAGTTTGTACAAAACAAACATATGTTCTTACATCTGGTAGAATAAGATTTGTAGGCCAGATAATCTCCACAGAACTACAGTACTTCATTATAACGCTGTTTTGTCACGTTTTACCTTTTGTCTGAAAAAATTGCAGCTTCTGCGATTTGGATATTGCACTTGGCCATATTGCGATTTTGATACTTTAATTAATTGTGCAACCCTAACTTTGAGTGTTAAACCTTTTCTGAATCTTTACATATGTGACATTAATCATCTCAGTTTGACCTTGCGAGTCAGTAACAAAACACAAGTTTAGTTTGGATTCTTTCTAAATGCAATCACCTGGAAAAACATCTCAAAATGTGTGCTTTGTAGCCCTTTATATAAGATTCTACTAGTAATGCTTCACCCTCTGTGATCCTGCATTTTGTACGTATTTATGTTTTGTAATTCTCTGTATGCTGACCTGTGTGCCACCATAAGAAAAATTATGTAATAAACATACAAATAAAACACCAATACTGCTATTTGTTAAATCATTTATTGTTTTAATAGGAATGAACAAATTGTCTCACACAGTTTAAATAGTTTACACACAAATGTGAAGTAGCTAGTTTGAAAGGACCAGTGTGTTGGATTTAGTGGCATCTAGTCGTGTAGTTTTAGATAACAACCCCCTCGTCATCACCCCCCTTTTCCAAGCCTGTAAGAGAAACGGGGGATGCAAAATTTGAAAAATAAAAATAAAAAAGGCCCTACCTAGAGCCAGTGTTTGGTTTGTCCGTTCTGGGCTACTGTAAAAACAGCTCATTCTAAGGTAATGAAAACAACAATTCTTACATTTAGGTATTTATACACAAATGAAAACGTATGAATATTATTCAATTTTTGCCAGTACTTCCTTCTAATTATTTCACACTGGACCTTTAACAGTTTTATTGCCCTAATTTCCTATTTTATCAAGATAATTTCCACTCTTCTAGCTATTAAAACACTATCAAATGTCTAGCTGTGCCAGTAAGCTGAAGCAGTAAACTATGCAGAATTTTATGGCAGTGTCATATCAGCATCAAGCAGAACATCTGTGTCAGACCTTTCCACACAGAAGAATACTCAAGCCAACTATGCAACGAAGATGCAATTATCATTTATCACACATTAGACCAGCATTATGGATTTAAATTCTCATGGAAAGATTGAGTACATCCCATCTTGAGTTTCTTTCCCTCAGGTGTACCTCGAAAGAATTCTAGATAAGACGAAAACACATACTTATTCATGACTTTGACCTTCCCAAAGATGTCAAGCTCTGTTTGCTCGTCATGGTCGACGGCGGTCATCATCTGCTTCGATTTGATGTACAGGGCATTTTCCTTTGCAACAACTTGATCTAACCAAAGCTGTTTGTTCTGCGGTGCCAGGTCGTAGTTGTCAACAGTGCAGCCATAGAATCCCCGTTGCAGACGGTCAGGCCAGGGTTGATCGGTCACCATAGGGTGGTCAGCTCCAACAAACGCTGTGCACAGGGGGCTGTCAGTCCCCCGGGAGCGACCTACTTCACAACCTATGACACTCATGAGGAAAAGTGAGAAGGTTCTGAAGTTTTGCACAGATGCTGAGAACACTGCTGCCATGAAGTAACGACCCCATCTCTCACAGTTGTAGATGCACTGCTGAAACTGGAAGGTCTGGCGGCAGAAGTCATTGAATTTGGACGCTTTGAGACCCTCTCTCAACTCCAGTAGGGAGGACTCACCCTGCAGCTCATTGAAATTCTGACGGAAGCTGTCAATTTCAGCTTTATTGCCAGTGCTTATGAACTTGCCCACCAGACTCACACTAAGATTTTTTTGTACTTTGTAAATGCATTCATTGAGAACATAGTGAAGGTCTGATGCAACTTCCTCCCTGGCATTATATCGTATCTCCACAAGTAGATCCTGAATGTTACTAATATGTTTGAGGACAATGCTGTCTTCAGCTGGTCCTGGCTCTGTTAGCCAAATTGCTTTCAGGTGTCTTTGATCTAGGTCTGGGACATAATCAGGAGCACGCCTTCTTTCATTCTCCTCAAAAAACAAGCTCCATGTAAGCCCCTCCAGGCAGTCAATAGAAGGGTACTTTTTGCGCAGCTCCATTGGGACAAACATTTGAGGGTGGCTTGGCCAGTCCAATGTCTGACGATACAAAACCTTTCCTTTATAATCAGGAAACCCTGGCCCTGCACAGCCAAGTTCCACTTTCGTAACTACGTCACCTCTTTGGTCCAGTTCAGCATGGACTCTTCCGCTGTTGTCATGGGACCTCCAGACTCTGTCAGTCCAAGTCATTATCTCTCCGTCAGAGCGAACAGACAGGAAGGAGTTGTGTAGGAGCAGCTTTGTTTTCACACTGAGAGACCGGAGAGCTTGAAGCAGCTGCAACATAAAGTGGCGGTCATTTCCAAGGTTGCAGCTGATGAGGCTGATGGTGCCAAGATGATTAAAGGTGCTTTCAATTTGTAACACAACTCTGGCAAGCTCCTCTGGGCCATAACCAGCTAGCTGGACTGTCCCATTGGTGCTACTGCTGCCATGGCCGACTAGTATGATGTCATGGTCTCTGGTAGAAAGGAAATGGCTTCCTCTGAGAATATGCAGTGCCCCCTTCTGGTACCTCAGCAAAGTTGATACAGTAGGATGCCTCTCAAACAGGTAAGTGGCTGATTTAATCACTGCAGGGTCCTCTTCCATAATAACTATAGTCTGGTGGCTGTACTTAGTATCACCTTCTCTAAGGGTCACATGTTGTTGGTTAGACATAATTTCTGTCTCGAATGTGTCATTATAGCTGAATCTAAAGCCATCTGAATGAGTCAAACAGACTGGGAAGGCCTCCATAATGAGACTTCTGACACAAGCCGGTACTGTCGGATTGATGGAACAAAGTGCATGAAAAGCAGGATTCCAGCTATTATTGATTCTCTGACACTGTGTCTTAGATAAACCAAACTTAAACAAATCTACACTAGAATTGATGGCACTCATTTGTTTGGACTTGGTGTCTCTGAAAGGATCAGTCGGCCACTTTCCAGCGTCTCCAAGCTCAGAGTGCAGTAGGTGAAACATTAGTGGAGTCATCTGAAGATATGCCCTAGAAGTAGATAAGTGATGGGTGAATAATGATCCAGTTGACCAAATACTTACACTGACTCAAGTAAATAAAAAAGAATTGTAATATGCTCTTTGATAAGCACACTGTTGCAGTTTGATTGTATTGATTTCAGGGGCAAGGTGGAGTGGAGGGGGTGGCTTCTGGGGCTCCATCCCTGAATGTACTAAAAA